CCCCAAAACCCCAAAACCCCAAAACCCCTAAATAACAATAGTTTAGCACAAAGAATCAATAATGATAATTTAAAGGTTAGAAATGAGTTTTATAAGAACTGAAGTTTAAAAAGAAGTTTAGAGTAAGTAAAAGCTTGATGAATTTCTAAACCAAGTTGAGTAGAAAAGAATAGCAAAACAAGAGTCATAAAAACTTGTTATTGATGAACCTGACAGTGAGAATAAGCAATAATTCAAAATATACAATGACAAACCCATTTATCTGAGTTTCAAGACAGTATTCAAAAATTATGAGTTCTTGAACAAATATCTTCTATACAAGCTTCTTGTCAAACCCTTGGAATAGAATAAACCAGATACAGTCAAGGAAACTATGACTAGAGAAGAACTGTATATAATACATGATATATATCATGATTACGACTTATAGTTAGTTAGAGCTTCTATCCTTGCAGGAATGTTTTATCCTACTATGTTGTATACTCTTGGAAAATTTGTGTTTAAATCTCACACCCCTTTACCTTTAAAGTTTTTGATTGCAGCTCCAGCGCTCTATTACCTCAGATATGATAAGATTAAAGAATATGTTTTGATTCCAAGAATCAACTATTACTACAGATTATTTCAAGTAGGGGATCAATACAAATTAGGTAATGACACTCTAGAGATTATAAAATTTGTATAAGATGAAAGCAAAGATTTAAACAAGCTTAGCAAGGAAAATTAATTCCTATACAAAACTTCGTGGAAATTTTTGATTTCATACTACAAGGATCAGATTTATAACTACGAAGGCGTATAAGAGAAGGAAAACGATTTACTTAATGCACTATTTACTATGATATCAATTAAAAACAATAATTAGCATCTTATGAGTTAAACAGATAGGATTAAGCTATATAAGAGTTTAGCAGATAATGATTTAAAGGATTAGGACAAAGAGCAGTATTATAAAACCTAAGCTCAAATTGAGGTGATTTAAGCAATTTAGGATAATTAAACTAATAAGGTAGTGTATGAAGATATATACAAATTTTTGCTTGATTAGAAGACAAAAAATAATAAAATTGTGTGATAATTACAATATTTAATGAATTATAAATTTGATTAATGATGTCTGATGCTAGGGGTTTTGGGGTTTTGGGGTTTTGGGGTTTTGGGG